TTTTTTCCGGGCGGTTTCTCCTCCTCGTCCGGGGGCGGCGTCAGAGGAACCAGGACTGGGGGGGGGCGAAATGGGAGGGGGGGGGTCAATTTTGGGGAGGGGGGGGGCACCAACACCCCCCAACCCCCCCGCGACCCCCCCAGGACACCCAACCTCAACTTTTGGGGGTCCCCGACCCCCCCAAAAAGAGATGAGACCCCTTTAGGACTCGGGGGATGCTTTGGGGGGGGGCGAACCCCTCCTGACCCCCCCCAAAAAGGGGGCGGGGTCTCCAAAGGGGGGGGTTGGACTCCCAGGACCCCAAAAAGGGGGCGGGGTCTCCAAAGGGGGGGGGTTGGACCCCCAGGACCCCAAAAAGGGGGCGGGGTCTCCAAAGGGGGGGGGTTGGACCCCCAGGACCCCCCCCAGGACCCCAAAAAGGGGGCGGGGTCTCCAAAGGGGGGGGTTGGACCCCCAGGACCCCCCCCAGGACCCCAAAAGGGGGCGGGGTCTCCAAAGGGGGGGTGGGGCTGGAGCCCCCCAGGACCCCCCGATGGGGGGGGCGGGTCCAGCCCCCTCCCCTCTTTTGGCCCCGCCCCCCCGGGCGCCCCGCCCCGCCATTGGCGGAGCCGCCGCCGCACCACCGCGCGCAGCCAATGGGATCGCGCCGTGCCGCCGCAGCGCCCGCAGCCTGCCAAGGCCCGGCCGGTGCCAGCCAATCAGCGCCGGCCCCGCCTCCTCCCGCCTGGCGGTGCCAGCCAATCGGGCTCCGCTGCGCGCGGCCCGCCGAGAGACCCCATTGGCTGCCGGCCCTGGCTGCCTCCTCGCCTTCCATTGGCTTCACGCCCGAGCCGGCGCCAGCCAATCAGCGGCCGGCGACGCAGGGCAGGCAGCCAATCGGGCGTCGTGCCACGGCGCGGGGGGGGCCAATAGCGGCGCGGCCGGCCCGGCGTGGCCACGCCCCTCTTTGTCCCCGCGGTGACGTCACCGAGGAGGCGTGGCCTGGGCTCCGGTGGGCGGGGCCCAGGGACCGGCCAGGTGTGCTGGGGGGGGCGGGGGGTCATGGGGGGGCTCAGGTGTCACCCCCAGGTGTCTGGGGGGGTCCCAGGTGTCCAGGGGAGGGGTCCCAGGTGTCCTAAGGGGGTCCCAGGTGTGTGGGGAGGGGTCCCAGGTGCCCAGAGGGTGTCCCAGGTGCCTGGGGGGTGTCCCAGGTGCCCGGGGGGGTGCCCAGGTGTGCAGGGGGTGGCCCAGGTTCCCAGGGGGGTGTCCCAGGTGCCCGGGGGGGTGTCCCAGGTGCCCGGGGGGTGTCCCAGATGCCCAGAGGGTGTCCCAGGTGTGTGGTGGGGGTGCCCAGGTGCCCAGGGGGGTGTCCCAGGTGTGTGGTGGGTGTGTCCCAGGTGCCCAGGGGGGTGGCCCAGGTGTGTGGTGGGTGTGTCCCAGGTGCCCGGGGGGGTGCCCAGGTGTGGCCGTACCTGCTGCTGGGGCAGGCTCAGAAAGTTGCCGTCGCGGGGTCCGAGGCCGACAAGGCGGGGGGCAGCGGCGGCGCCTGACGCTGCGAATGCTGCGGGGAGAGGGGGCTCAGCCCGGCCGCGCCCCGCGGGGGCACCGGGAACCCCCCCGGGGGCACCGGGGGCACCAGGAGCCCCCCTCCACCCATGCTCCGGGTGAGACCCCCTCCCCTCCCCCCGCCGGTACTTACCTGTGCGGGACCCCCCCCCGGGCACTCCCGGGTCCCCCCACGCGGGTGGGGCGGGGGGCGCGGCCAGGTGGGCCCCACCCACGCGGGTGGGTCCGGGGAACCCCCCCCAACCCGCACCTCCCCCCCCCAGAGCGAAAATGGGGTAAAAACGGGGGGAAATGGCGAAGGAGCCGGGCTGGAATGGGGGGATGAGGCGCCGGGCCGGTGACGATGACGATGCGAGTGATGAAGCACGGGCAGCCGGGCCGGGCGGGGCACTTGTCACTTGGCACCTGGGACATGGCACCTGGCACCTCTCACATGTCACCTGTCACATGGCACCTGGCACCTGGCACATGGCACCTGTCACCTGGCACCTGGCACCTGCTGCCCACCTGGCTCACCTCTGGCACCTGCCCCGGGTGCAGCCCCTGTCACCTGGGGAAGCCCTGTGCACCTTGTCACTGTGTCACCTGTGTCACTGTCACCTGTGTCACCTGGGTCACTGTGTCACTGTCACCTGTGTCACCTGGGTCACCCAGGTCACCTGTGTCACTGTCACCTGTGTCACCTGGGTCACTGTCATCTGCATCACCTGGCTCACCTGGGTCACTGTCATCTGTGTCACCTGTGTCACCTGTGTCACCATGTCACTGTCATCAGGGTCACTGTGTCACCTGGGTCACCTGTGCACCCTGTCACCTGTGTCACCTGGGTCACTGTGTCACTGTTACCTGGGTCACTGGGGTAATTTATTTCACTGTCACCTGGGTCACTGTGTTACCTGGGTCAGTGTTACCTGGGCCACTGTGTCACCTGTGTCACCT